CACAGAATCTCGTGTTAACAACCACTTGTGGATTCTTAGTCGGCCAGGACTGCCAGGCTAACTTCTGGTTCTAAGGTACGTTGGAGTCTGTGCTGCCTTGCTGATCGAGAATCTTTGGGATGTTTTAGGGCACAGTGGTCATTGAAGATGTCGCTGTGGTCTTCACCCAGGAAGAGTGGACTCTGTTGGATCCTGCTCAGAGAAAACTCTACAAAGACGTGATGATGGAAACCTTCAGAAACCTGGAGTCAGTAGGTATGAATGGACTTTTGATTTTTGAATGGTTTTAGTAAACAAAAATTTTTTATTCATGATCTGTGCTTCATTATATGGGATAAGCAATGGGAATACCCTGTTAAATGAAAGAGGCATGGTCCCGTGCCATACGGAGCTCACATATCCGGGCTTCCCCCTAATACAAAGCTCTATGTATTCAAGTGAATTTTCATTTCTCATGTGAGTAAAAGCCTGGTGTTGTTGTTATTAGGTGCCATCAAGTTGGTACCAACTCATAGCAACACTGTGCACAACAGAACAAAATGCTGACTAGTCATGGGCTAACCTCACAATTGTTGGCCATATTGATCCCATTGATTCTGCCTCTTTGCAAATCCTTGCCACTGGGGTCTTCCTCTTTTTCTCTGACCCCTCTACCTTAGCAAACATGATGTCCCTGTCCAGTGACAGGTCACTCCTGACAATATGTCCAAAATATGAGAGAAGCAGTCTGGACATTTTGGCCTCCAAAGAGCACTCTGGCTGTTCATCGTCCAGTACAGATCCGTTTGTTTTTTAGGCAGCCCATGGCACTTTCAATATTCTCCTCCAACACCATAACTCAAATGCATCAATTCTTCTACGGTCATCCTAATTCACAGCCCAGGTTTCACATGCATATGAGGTATTGAAAATACCATGGCTTGGGTCAGATGCACCTTAGTCCTCAAGCTGACATCTTTGCTCTTCAACACTTTAAAAAGGTCTTGTGCAGCAGATTTGCCTAATGCAATACGTCATTTGATTTCTTGGCTGCTGCTTCCATGAGTGTTGATGATTGATCCAAAAAAAAATGAAGTCTTTGACAACTTTAATCTTTTCTCCACTGATAAAAATGTTGTTTATTGGTCCCGTGGTGAGGATTTTTGTTTTCTTTACAATGAGATGCAATCCATACTGAAGGTTATACTCTTTGATCTTCATCAGTATTTTAAGTCTTCTTTGCTTTCAGCAACCAAGGTTGTATCATCTGTGCATATCTCACGTTATTAATGAGTCTTCCTCCAATCCTGATGCCACATTTTTCTTCATATAATCCAGATTCTCGGATTGTGTGCTCAGCATACAGGTTGAATAAGTATGGTGAAAGAATACAACCGTGTTGCACATCTTTCTTAATTTTAAACCATTCAGTGTTCCCATGCTCTGTTCAAACAACTGCATGTTGGTCTATGTGCAGTTCCCTCATGTGCACATTTAGGTGCCCTGGAATACTCATACTTCACAATATTGTCTATAGCTTGTCATGATCCACACAATCGAAGGCCTTTGTGTAGTCAATAAAGCACATACTAGTTGTCTTCCAAATTTCTTGGAATAGGTGAGTGAGTGTCTCCAGTGCTGCCTCACTTTGTTGAACAATTTCAATTTGTATTCTATCAGTTCCACATGTCATTTTTTCTAATTCCTTCAATGCACCTTGGACTTCCTTCTTCAATGTCATTGACTCTTGATCCTATGCTACCTCTTGAAACGGTTGAACATCAACCATTTCCTTTTGGTACAGTGGCTGTGTATTCCATCCATCTTCTCTTGATGCTTTCTTCATCATTCAATAATTTGCCCAGAGAATCCTTCAATAATGAAAGTCGAGGCTTGAGTTTTTTCTTCAGTTCCCCCAGCTTGAGAAATGCAGATGACCATCTTCTTCACTTTTGGTTTTCTGACTCTACATCTTTGCACATTTTGTTGGAATATATGACTTTGTCTTCTCAAGTTCACCTTTGACATTTTCTGCTCAGTTCTTGTACCTTCTCATTTCATCCATTTTCTTTAGCTTGTCTGTGCTAGACAGCAAGTTTCAGAGTCTCTTCTGACATCCCTTTTGATCTTTTCCTTCTTTCTTGTCTTCTTAATGACTTTTTGCTTTCTCCCTGTATGACGTTCTTGATGTCATACCTCAACTCTTCTGGTTTTCAGTCTTTAGTGTCTAATGTATCTAATCTGTTCTTCAGATGATCTCTAAACTCGGGTGAGTTATTCATATTTTGGCTCTTGGAGACTTATTTTCATTTTCTTCAGCTTCAGTCTGAATTTGCATATGAGCAATTCGTGGTCTGTTCCACAATCTGCCCCTGACCTTGTTTTGACTGATTATATGGAGCTTTTCCACCTTCTCTTTCCACAGGTGTATTCGATTTGATTTCTGTGTATTCCAGCTGGAGAGGTCCTTGAGGATAGTTCTCCATGTGTATAAAATCCTAGGACCTCTTTAAGTGTCGTCAGGCATTGACTTCAAGGGCCACATTCATGCACTGAGAGACTTGTCATGTGGCTATCTATGACTTTTATTGGTTTTATGACAAGTTTGATATCATGATTTTGCTGCAGATAAACTCCCACCTGTCAATCTTCTGAGACCCTGAAGAGCAAGCAGAGTACTGTCCGGGTGCCAAGGACACTTTCATTGGTCATCACGGTCCTCCCTTGTGATGCACATTGCTCCATGAGTTCCACGTTGTTCTGACCTGTCGTTTCATTGGGTCCAACTCTGTGACTCTGTGTACAGTCTCCAAAGGGTAGCTGTTGGGTTTATCCTACAACACCACACCAGGACACCTGAGCTTCTGGGTAGCTCTACGTGTTTGTTTTCTCAGAGAAACTAAGGAAAATCTGAGGGTACTAGATAAGAGTCACTGAGGTCCATGTGTCAGGAAGCCTGAGGAAACAAAACTTTAAGACCATCCCAGAATAAAGGGAGTTACATTTGAATGCCTCAACAACAAAAGGTTTATTTTAGGGTGAAGACAGAACTTCAGAAATACCTGATTTAGTCTTCAGATTTTAGCTTTCTTCTCACACCTGTGGTCGTGGAGACCCTTCCCCTTTGTAACCTTACATGTGAGTTATGTCTGATTCCTTTCTACTTAGCTCTCCTAATGATGCCTGTGTACGTTACTGTCTGTCTCCATCCTGATAGAAATATTTCCTAGTTAACTGCATTTTAACACTTGTCAAAGTGCTGGAATAGCAAAGTTTGGCTGAGTCTTTGTTTCTAGGAACCTGTTTTTCCACTCACAATTCCTATTTGTTTCTTATTATGAACTTAATCTGAATGATTGGATCAGTGGCTGGAAACCTTAATGACGGAAAAAAGTTACCCAGTGAGCATATAATGGTGCCATTTCTGAAGACTAACACCGGGTTATTACACACGTCAGGTAAAATCATTTCATCACATGGCTGGAAGGATCACCATGACAACCAAGGGAGACTTTTGAGGTGAGTGTCATTCAAACAACAAATTAGTGCTTCAGAAAATCTCAGGAGGTGTCATAACATCAAAGTAGACTTAAATGAGGGAGCTCCAAAAACTCCATCATTTTTCAATTCCATCATTCTATGAACTATTTGGGGCCATTTGTATGTATTTGTGTTTATATATAGCAGGGCTTCAAGTGTAATGATGCAGTAATTGCTGGACAAACGAAGGTACTGAATACATGTCCCAACAACCAAATCTCTTGCCTGTTGAATTTTGAGTCAAGTAGGAAACCGTCAGTAGTGTACCATTCAGAGATGGTGGCAGCGTTCCCAGCTCTCAATATTTGTTGCTCTCCACAGGCCTACCAGTAATCCAGTCTCAGATGTAAGACTCATGGTTTCCAAGCAGATGTCTAGGTTATTGCCGGAGTGTGCCGAGCGACACCTTTACATTCATAGGGTGCTCACTCACCATCCTTGAGTGCAGTACCAGTGATTGTCTCTTCATCAAATCAAATTCTATTAGGTAACAGATTTGATTGGAATACCATGTGGACACTTCACACATTTGTGTTGGAAATTGCTCAGTCTTTACAGAGTGGTTTGAAGCCCTGATACATACTGCTACATACGTGTGCCGAGTCAGTTCCGACTTACTGCAACCCTGTGTTGCCTTTCCAACATGCAGCTGGTGGATTGTTGTTGTTTCATGACGTCAAGTTCTAGTTTGTGGGTCAAATCAACCCAACATTGCAGTGCTAATCCTGTATGAGGACATGAATATTCTATGCATATGTAAAATATGCACTTGGCTGCTTTGACCAGGAAGCCTCACACATTGGAAAATCCTGGACTGGGGATGATCGTAGTTGTGCTTGATAAACCATGGAACAGATCACGGAATGGCCATGCACGTTCACTGTGTTTGGTGATGGTGTGATGGGCAAGCATTTGTTTCCAACAAGACACTGCTTTTTTATTCATTGTCTATTTGTTTAAAGGGAGTAGTTTGAAAAGGACACTATCGATTTTATGTTTTCACTGCTGTTTTTAACAGAACTGGAGCAACTGTGAAACTCTGTGAACATTCTGAAGGCAGCCAGTGTGTGGAAACCTTCAGCCTGATACCAGGTCTTACTGTGCACCAAGTAGATCCCACAGAAGTAGATCCTTTTGAATGCTGTGAGTATGGAGAAGCCTTCCTGGATCATTCCCTAGAGAACAATCGTAGTAGAGCTCACACTGGAAGCAGGATCTGTCAGTGTCCGGACTGTGGAGAAGACTACAGGTATCCCTCTCATGTGACCCCTCCTGTGAGAACTCAACATGAGAAAAATTACCATAAATGTAAGCTATGTGGGAAAGGCTTCCTTTGTATGTCGACACTCAAGAATCCTGTCTCAGCAATCACCAGTAATGAAGGGTATGAATTCAGCAAGTGGATGGAAATTTTATGTGGTTTCTCACCCTATAGTACACCTGGGGAAGGTCATCAATGTGTTTGTAAAGAAGGTATTAGAATGGATACTCTTCCTTCATCTCTCATTTTAAATAACTCTCATGATAGAGACAAGCCTTCTAAATGTAAGAAAGCCACTCCTGAGGCCTCCTTCCTCACTCAACATGTAAACACTCACAGTGGGGAGAGGCCTTATGAATGTAAGGAGTGTGGGAAAAGTTTTAACGATTCCTCAGGCCTGACTGAACATCAAAGAAGCCACAGAGGACAGAAGCCTCATGCATGTAGGGAGTATGGGAATGCCTCAGCTCTCACTGTACATCGAAGAATCCACAGTGGAGAGAAGCCATATAAATGTAAGGAATGTGGTAAAACCTTTAGTGCACCCTCAGCCCTCACTGCACACAGAATAATCCACAGTGGAGAGAGGCCTTATGAATATAAGGAGTGTCCAACAGCCTTTACAGAAGCCTCAAGCCTCAGAAAACATGGAACGTTCCACAGTGGAGAGAGACCCTATAAATGTAAAGAATGTGGAAAAGCATTTGTGTTATCCTCAGGCCTCACTGTACATATGGGAAGTCATAGTGCAGAAAAGCCTTATGAAATTAAGGAATGTGGGAAAACTTTTATTGATTCCTTAGCTCTGGCTGCACATAGAGGAACCCACAGTGGAGAGAAGCCTTATGAATGTAAGGAATGTGGCAAAGCCTTTAGCGCAGTCTCAAAACTCACAAGACATACAAGAATCCACAGTGGAGAGAGGCCCTATAAATGTAATGAGTGTGGGAAAGCCTTTTGTCAGAAGTCAGGCCTCACTACACATATAAGAACTCACAGTGGAGAGAGGCCCTTTGAATGTACGGAGTGTGGGAAAGTCTTTAGTCATAAGGGAAGCCTCACTGGACATATACGAACGCACAGTGGAGAGAGGCCCTTTGAATGTAAGGAGTGTGGGAAAACCTTTAATCACAAATCAGGCCTCACTGTACATATACGAACTCACATTGGAGAGAGGCCATTTGAATGTATGGAGTGTGGGAAAGCCTTTAGTCAGAAGTCACACCTCACTGGACATATACGAACTCACAGTGGAGAGAGGCCCTTTGAGTGTAATGTATGTGGGAAAAAGTTTAATCAGTCTTCAATCCTCAGTTTACATAGAAGTATCCACAGTGGAGAGAGGCCCTATGAATGTAACGAGTGTGGGAAAACCTTTAGATTACCGGCAATCCTCACTGCACACAGAAAAATAATACACAGTGGAGAGAAGCCCTATGAATGTAAAGAGTGTGGGAAAGGCTTTAGTAAGGCGAAATCCCTCACCAAACACAGAAGAATTCACAGTGGAGAAAGCCTCTAGGAATGTAAGAAATGTGGGAAAAGGTTGACTCATCCTTCAACCCTCATTTCACATAGAAGAATCCACAGTGGACAGAGACACTATGAATGTAAGGAACGTGGGGGAAGGTTTACTCATCCCTCAGTCCTGAGTTCACATAGAAGAAGAATCCACAGTGGAAAGAAACGTTTTGAATGTAAGCAGTACAGAGTTTTCACGCATTGCCCACGTGATAGCAGGCACATGAGAACTCATACTAGGAGAACTGACAGAGGGAATTGGCCCTAGGAATAATGTAAGGAATGTGGCAAAGCTCAGAGAAAGGTGACAGTTTCATTGTACCTGGAGGGATAGAGCCTCATCACTGTTTGTCATTTTGTCAGTCCTTGATTACTTTTACCTTTCTTAAAATCTTTGGCTATTATAATAAGGCCTCAGGAAATAGTCTTGAGCAATTGTGGTTTTGCTGTTTTGTAATGTTTTCATTGATGTTATTTTGCATATAATTAAATACAGTGATGTTGCCTTGTGTTTAAGAGTCTTTTGTTTACATACATTTCCTTCAATTCTGTTATATTTTCTATAGGACCACTGGGACATAGCACAGCTGCTGACTGCGGTAAACATTCCTTAGATAACAACGTATGTCTCACATAACAGGATGTAGCCATGTATCAGCATGCGGCCAAGCCGTAAGGGTCTGCTCCCAGAACTGACCTCAAACTTAAAATGGCAGGGAAAGCCCATTATGTTCCCTCATTCTGGGAAAATAACTTTGCTTTTTGCTTTTGTATCCGGCTTGCTCCCTCTCCCCCTCCCCCCAATGGTTTTAGCCTTTTTAAGTGGTCCCAACATACAGGTATAGATCAGGGATGCAAACCCAGGAGAAGTTTCTGTTAGCCTGTTTGCAGACGCTGATCAGTAGTAAACACTCTTTTGTCTGCCAACTCTGTGTCTCTGGTGTGGTCTCTCCAATCTCGCTCTTCGATTCTCTGTTCTAACATTTTCAGGTTAATTTTCTTAACTTTTATACTTAGTGTCTCATAGGTTGATACTCTGAGACTGCAGATATTCTGATTTCGATTATACTTTGGCTTCCTGTTCAGTGCAGTCGAGTCACTTACAACTCATAGTGACTCTGTATCGAGTTTCTGTGGCTGTAAATCTCTGCAGGACAAGAAATCAAGGCTTCCCTCAACTGTCTCTTACAGAGCAGGTGGTTGACTTGATTGCCAACCTGTAGCCCCCAGTCCACTTCTTATCCACAGCGCTACCCATTGATAATTACTACCTGTGATTATTATTATTACTGTGATGTTTTCCAAAGTTTGTGTTCCAAACAGTTTTTCTATGTTTAGTAAGTGGAATTCTGCAAGAAATATGATCGTGAATGTGGCAAGGTCGCCATGGGTTGGAACTGACTCAACGACATTTAACAGAATACATATCTAGATGTATTAGCATTATATATATTGATGTCTTTGCTGTTAGACTCTAAAGAGTCTTTGTGCAGCAGATTTTTCTTTCACAATAAATTGTCTGATATCTTGACTGTTCCTTCCATGAAGATATACAGCTTCAGAAATGCCCAAGGACAGTTCGACTCTGTCTGATGGGGCCGCTATGAGTCCAAATCGACTCCACACCAGGGGTTTTCTGGTTAGGTCTCAGATACAAATTCCTCCACCAACGGACCAGAACATTCTTCCTGTGGGAGACGGTGGTCAGCTGCGTCTCAGGGTGGTGTCTGTCCTTCAAAGCTTTGGTCTGCAAGCTCATGGCCTGCACAGGGACTGAGTGGTTTCCAATACAGAGATAAGCTCAGAGGACAAGAGGGATCTGCCCTGGGTTCCTGGGTGTCCAATACAGTTTGCACTCAACTACTGATGTCACCGTGGGAGGTTCAAATCTACACAGCAGGGTTGCATATGGCAGGACTGGGGATCTGTTTGTAAAAACTAAAATCACATTTTGGACTTCCAGTTTTGAAGGTGGCAGAAGCAGAGTCAGTTAGGACAGGCTTCGAGGGGCAGGGGCTGAAAACACATAGAAAATGCTTTCAGGGAATAGCTCCAGAGCCCTGGATCAAGCATAAGGTGCAGGGCATCAGTTTCCCACACTCACCAGTGGCAAAATCACTGTATAAAGGAAAATACTGTGATTTAGGAATCGCCAGAAATATCACCATAGAAATCTGATAAGTATGTCTTCTGCCTATAACTGATTGGAATACCTAAAATAGGGCTACAACGTGCCCAGTGAAGGTGGGATATGTTCAAGGTCATATTTTGGCTCTCATGGACTTGTTTTCATTTTCTTGGCCTTCATTTTGAATTTCCATATGTGCAATTGGTAGTGTGTTCCACAGTCTGCCCATGGACTTCTTTTGACTGATGATATGGAGCTTTTCCATTGTCTCTTTCTGCAGATGTAGTCAACTTGATTTCTTTCTATTCCATCTAGCAAGGTCCATGTATATAGTCGTCTCTTATGCTGTTTAAAGAAGGTATTTGAAATGAACAAATCATTGATTTTGCAGAATTCTATCATGCATTCTCCAGCATCATTTCTATCACCAAGGCTACATTTTCCAACTACTGATCCTTCCTCTTTGCTCCCAACTTTTGCATTCCTATAACCGGCAATGATCAATATGTCTTGATTGCATGTTTGATCAGTTTCAGATTGAAGAAGTTGGTAGAATTCTATTTCATCTTCACTGGCTTTAATGGTTGGTGCATAAATGTGAATAATAATGGTGTTAACTGGTCTTCCCTGTAGGCGCATGGATATTATCCTATCACTTATAGCATTGTACCTCATGACTGATCTGGGATATGTTCTTTTTGATGATGATGAATGCAACACCATTCCTTTTCAGTTTGTTATTCCCTGCATAGTAAACTATGTGGTTGTCAGATTCAAAATGGCCAATACCAGTGCATTTCAGCTCAATAATGCCTAAGATATCCTATGTTTATGCATTCCATTTCATTTTTTTAAGATGTTTCATTGTGAATTATATGATAGTTTACATGAGAGAACTTTAGCTTTACATTCATTCTATCGTACATTCCATTTTATTTTTGACAATTTCTAAGTTTCCTAGATTCATACTTTGTACATTCCATGTTCCAATTTTCAATGGATGTTTACAACTGTTTCTCTTCATTTTGAGTTGTGCCCCATCAGCAAATGAAGGTCCCACGGGCTTTACTCCATTCACGTCATCACGCACGGTTAACTCTACATTGAAGAGGCAGGTTCTCCCCAGTCTCATTTTGAGTGCCTTCCATCCTGAGGGGCTCATTTTCCGGCACTATATCTGACAGTGTTTATCTGCTATTCATAAGGTTTTCAGTGACTAAATATTCAAAAGTAGTTCGTCACTCCTTCTTTCTAGTCTGTCTTCATCTGGAAGCTCATCTGAAACCTGTTCACCATGGGTGACCCTGCTGGTATTTAAAATACCTGTGGTATAGCTTCCAGAATCACAGTAACTCACAAGCCACCACAGTACGACAAATGGACAGATGTGTAGTGGTAGGTGATTGGGACATACTGAAAATTAGAAACTTATGCACATCTAAAGATTTCTTAAAAAAAATGGGAGCCCACAGAATGGGAAAAAATATCTTTTACAATGACATGTCAGACAAGGTGCCAATCTCTAAAATCTATAGTAAACTACAACACTTCTACAAGAAAAAGACAAATAACCGAAATTTTAAATCGGCACAGGATATGAACAGACACTTCATCAAGGATGACATTCAGGCAGCCAACAAACATATGAAATGTTCACGATCATTAGAAATTTGAAAGATACATATCAAAACTAGAGTGAGGTATCATCTCACACCAGCAATCACAGCAAAGTTCAAAAGGCAAAAGATAATCACTGCTGGTGAGAATGTGGAGAGACTGGGACCCTTCGACATTGTTGGTGGGGATGTAAAATGGTCCAACTACTCTGGAAAACAGTGTGGCGCTTCCTCAGAAAGTTGGAAATAGACATACCTTGTAATTCAGTGATTCTTCTACTTGGTATATATTCAGAAGAAATATGAGCCAGAACACAAGTAGATATATGCACACCAATATTTATCATAGCACTATTAACAATAGCAAATGATGGAGACAGTCTAAGGGCCATCAATGAAAGAATGTATAAACAACCTTTGGTACATACACACTATAGAATATTATCCTACCTTGAAGAATAACAAGGAAGCTGGAAGCCACCATATAACATAAATGAATCTTGAGAATATTATTCTGAGTAAAATTAATTGCAAAAAGACAAATATTGCTTGAGACCATTATTGTAAAAGCTGAAGATATTCATTCTAAAAGAAAAAAAAAATTTTTTTTTTCTTTCTTGGTTACCAGGGGTGAGAGGAAGGGGATAGATGGTAGAACACAAGTTAGGAAATAGACACATCATAGTTAGGGTGTTGGGGAGGACAACATGTAATGAAGAGGAGGGTAATACACAAGAAGGGACGGATGGAAGAACAAGGTAGATAAGGGAACACTTAGGAAGGTTTGCATGGGCTAAATGGGACAGAAGCAAATTGTTATTATGCTCAACCTTGGAACAAGATGGCTCGGTGATACATGGATCAAGCCATTTTCTTTTGATGCTTCCTACAGCATTCAATATTCTGCCCACGGAACTCTCCAATATAGCACTCTGGGACGTTCATGGTTTTTGTTTTTTTTTCTTCTGTTCTTTCAGCTTGAGAAATGATGAGTGTGTTATTTCCTTCTGGTTTTCAAATTACAGGTTTTTGCACATTTCATTAGAACATTTGACTTTGTCTTTTCAAGATACACTTTGAAACTTTCTGTTCAGTTCTATTACTTCCTCATTCCCTCCATCTGCTTTAGGTACTCTAAGTTTAAGAGCAGTGTCATGTATCTCTTCAGACATCCACTTTGATCTTTTATTTCCTGATCTTCGTGTGACATTTTGTTTTCTTCATGTATGGTGTTCTCATTGTCATCCTGCAACTACT